GTATTTTCTTTTAAACAAACCGTACAGTTAATTCAACTGAATAGGACTGTGCATGGGTCGGTCGGGTCGGCCCACAAAAGTGCTAATCCGATCGGGTATCGGGTTACAATACCACAACCCGTAGTATGCACTTCGGGTATCGGGTCATTTCGGGTTCGGTTTGGGTTCGGGTTACAATTATCAATCCCTCTACCTTTTTGTTTGTTTTACCGGTTATTAATTAATGTTAGTGCATCTGTGCATGTTAGCTTCATGTAACCAGCAACTTAACCAAACAGATCATATAGTTGTCATCATTAATCAGTGAGAGAAGAGAACTATATATACATATGTAAGGGCCTAATCAAATGAGAACTAATTAGTTTGTGGTAACCGTGAGATCCAATGATCAATCACAAATCAATAGATAAATTAGGAAATTTATAATTTTTGTAATTTTGAATTAAACTTTTAATGCAAGGACATTTTAGGTATTTTCTCTCATCTCTTCTCTCCCATCCTCCGGTGATTTGTGGTTGAGATTGGATCTCACGGTTACCACAAACTAGTCAGTCATTCCTTGAATGGACCCCTATGTGTGTGTGTGTGTGTGTATATATATATATATATATATATATGTACTTCAATTTACAAACCACAAGTTGTGCAAATCGTCGGTCGGCCGCCAGTCGTCAATCGTCGGTCTATAGTAGCTACCGCGACCACGAGAGTGAAAATCCCTAGCCATAGGCCCGTAGCCGATAAGCCCTTAACCTTAAGGCCTTAACCCTTTTGTGTTCTTTGTTCGGTCGGGTTTTGCACAGCCTTACAACTGAACTAATCATAACTAATCATCAAATCTATTTAAAACGAAAATCATAATTAACAGTAAAGAAAGAAAAGCTATAGCATGTGAAACTTTAAGGAAAAAAAGTGATGATGGAGAATGGGAATATGGGATGATGATGGTGGACCATAACATACAGCCTTGCAAGCAAACAAGCAATAAAAAGACCAAAAGGCATTGTTTTTTAAACAAAAGTTAGGCATGTAAAGTCACTTTTGGACCCATTCAAAATTTGAAAGACTTTAGGGACCAATTTAGACAAACCCCATAATTTGTGGATGGTCAACACATAATAGTTTCTTTGCTTGTGATGGTGGGGAAACATAAATTTAATCAATTATAATTCTTATTTTTTTTAATTTAAATAAAGATAATTATAATATAAAATCGAAATGTAATTACGCGATAATAAATCATTTTTTATTATAATAAAAAAAAAACTCTCGAGGTTTATATCTGACTTTATTTATTCTGTTTGTAAATAATCATGTATAAAACTCAGATATAAAGCGTAAAATTGTAATATCAAGATTGTTATACAGTTTATAGCATAACATGCATATGTTTTACTGTTTATTGCCGACTGCTTTTATTATTCGTCTTTCTGTTTTATCTTTTGGTTACAGGTTATTTTCATCACGTCTAAAACTTACAAATTGACCCTTCAATTTATCGTCAAATGTCATTCTTTCTTGTAATCTTAACACCTTATTAATTGAAGGTCAACTCAATGTCTCATTCAGACATTCTATAGACGTAACAAAAGAAAACATTTAATTAAATAAAAATTCAACGATAAATAAAAAATACCTATAATATCCTTTATCATTTTTTATCTGAAATTATGTTTTTTGATTTAATTTTTTACTGTAAAATATTATTTATTCAAATTATCGATAATTTCTAGTAAAAGTCCTCAACTTAAATCCGTATTACTAAAACTATGTTAATCAACACGCCAAATATATTCCAACAATTTCAATTAAGTCATTTTCAATAATTGCTTAAATATTAAGCTAGAGAAAAGCGCTATTCAATGACTAAATAAATAATCCACTACACTTATTAAAGGGTTGTTTGTCAAACTTTTATCAGATAAGAGCTTACCAACAAGAGTCACCATATTACTTGTCTTATGGGTTAACATTCTAGGCCATCAAAATTGATTGTTGCTAGATATATCTCACCCAACAAGCACTAATTGGGTAAGGCCATAAGGGTCTTTTTCTTACTTACCGGGTTGAATTCTTCGTTTTTGTTATGCATTTATTAGGTGAGAATCTCGGTCCTTACCATACTCACCCGGTAAAGTGGTTGTTTACCTACATTTTACTGGATGTCATTTATCTTACTAGATGAGCATAGCAAGTATAGATAATCTTACACAATAAGAGACATGACAACAACCGAGGTTCTTATCAAATAAATGATAGACACCCATAAGTCAAAAAAATGTCCTATCATATTGGTGTCCTCAAAGCCCGGTTTCGTATAGGACCAGTTGAGATTATCGGCAATCAATTTATGTAAATACTGTATTAATTAATATAAAAAATAAATAAAAGAGTAATATAGATTGATGAAGATGGCCCGAACGAATGGTGCAAATCTTGAGCCCCACATAGACATGGAAAAGACATATCAAGAGTCTTGTGACTTCCTTTTAAGTCGTGGTTGGTCTTTGATTTTAGATTCCTTGGATGGCCAATATCCACATGACCAAATCTGTTTCTCCACATCCATGAAAAATATGGTAGATTAGAAACATAATCAACAATAAAATAAGACAGATAACAGCCTGCGATTTGTTTTACCTGAAAAGAACGTATTTTTTAATCGTGTACTGATATGATTGTCTGGCCTTTTTTCCGTTTGTTTCCCATTGGGGTATTGGGATTGTAGCGTTTAGGGTTTGTCTGTCTTATTTTAATAAATAGTTATGTGATGGTATAATTTAAAACGCAATATGTGTTTTTGATTTGAAGATTTTATTTTATTTTATTTTTAAAAAAGTAAATAATTTTGTCTTTATTTTGTTGTAAAATAAAAAGTGAATGCAACAAAACTATTGTAACGATTTATGAAGGGAATTTAATTATATAATGTTTAAAAAAGAAAATCTAGTTATTAGACCAAGTTCAATAAAAAATGATAGAATGATTTTTATGGGGCGTTTGGTTCGTAGAATGATTTTTGAAGAAATTGAATTTGTCAAATGAATTGGAATCTGGAAGGAATTTGAATGAAATGTTATCAGATTTGACCAAGTGTTTGGTTGGCATGAATGAAATGTAAATCTGTCTAATGAATTAGAATCTGTCTGTTTGGTTTGCAACAGAATTGGAGTGGAATGGTGAAAAAGACAAAAATACTCTTTCTTTGATTTTAGCTTTTTTTTTCTTCTTCTTCTTCTTCAACGTCGGTTAGAAGTAGTGTTCGATTCAACATCGTCAACATCGGTCAGAAGCAGCGTTGTTCTTCTTCAACGTCGTTAACAGAAGCAGTATTCGATTCATGGGTGTCTATCATTATAAGTTCTAGTTGTTCAATGCTTTCAACAATGAAGTTTAGGATTAAGGCATGGATGTGAAACCGTTACCGACATGGAAGCATTGAACACTGCTTCCATTTAATCGAGCACTGCTTCCATGTTTGGTAACGATTTCCCATTGGAGTTTAGGATTAGGTCACAATTTTTTTCGATTGGAGTGGAAGCAATGTTCGATTAAATGGAAGGAATGTTCGATTAACATAATTTTCGATTGGAGTTGAAGCAGTGTTCGTAATTGTTACTAAACATGGAAGCAGTGTTCGATTGGAGTAACAGGTAGAAGTCGTAAATGGAATGGAGCAGCTAGGGTTATAAAAGTCTAATGAGGATATTTTTGTCATTTACACAATTTTGGATAAAATGGATTTCAATTCCATCAGTTTTCAGAAGGAATGACGAAATCCTCAAATGAGGAAATCTTTGGAATTCAATTCCATTCCACGGGTAACCAAACGTTGGAATAAAAGTTGGTCAAGGGAATTGACCATTCTAATTCCATCAGATTTCGGTGGTTTCCGCCAAACCACGCCCCCTTATGCATTTTGTAATTTAGTTTATTGTCTATAAATATTATATATTAAATTTTACCTTTCCCACTATCGCACCCAGATCCTTGGTATTGTTATGTCGTCGTGGTAGCTCCCCTTCTATGGTTGTCTTCTCCTTTGCATCGTCGTTATCAGCAACCCCTCTCCCTCATGCTAGATGTGGGTGGACATAAAGGCCCAAAAACTGGTACTGAACCAAATCCAAACTTGAGTAGGTTACGTTTTTGATCGTTCAAAAAAGGATCGTTTATAGCTGGTTAGTCCATATTAGATAATTATCTTAAATGATTGGTTACGAAGAGCTGTTATGGTTAACCATTTGGAACTTAAAAGTTATAAAAAGCGTTAAAGTGACCTTTGTTCATTGGTCAACGAGCCGATGAAGGTGGACAAATTCTTGAAGATTGCTTAAAAGATCAGATATATCGAATGATGTTAGTTATACATTTTGGGCTAGGAATCCGTTAAGGACCAGAATCAATTATACCATAACCGGTTATATGATGATACTATCGCAGCCTTTCAATTTTTCGGTGACGGTGCCATATGGTAGCATATTCGAATCACAACTGTAACAACTTAAAAAGTTTGTAATTTTTTTATACTGGATTTAGACAGCTGAGTAGTGGAACAGCACATACAACCTACAATATAACTAAATTTGTAACTGTTTAAATTATAATGAAATTATTCTCTTAAAAACTCCCTAGTTGTAATTGTTTTATTGAATAAATATCAATGAAATATATTTTCATGATTGTTGGCTATTTTGGTAGGTTTTTTAATTTGATTACGTTGTTATAAATTGTTCATTAATCAAGATTCTGAATAAAATTTTAAAATAGATGGGTGACTGACGTCATAAACATTTATCCCAATATAAAAATAAATAAAAATTGTTAAATAAATTGTTTAAGGTTAGTTTCGTCATTAACTAAAAGGGACAAAAATCTGCGCTTCTTCTTCAACCGTTGTTCAACGTTTCCCTGCTTATTAACGAAAAAGCCGTCCCTCTCTTACTCCCGCTCTTGAGATACATGATTCTGACTTTTCAAATTTAACGGCTGCGTCGCCGGAATATTCTTCTCATCCCTCTAGCAACCACCGGCCGTCGCCGTTCATGCAACCTAGTTGTTGATCACCGGTCAGATTTCTTGTCTATTTCTTGTGTTTAATTCGTGTGCAGTTTCAAATTTATGTTTTGTATTGTTTGAATTGTGGAACTGTTTGAACTCATTCACTGACGAGTTTCAGTTTCGAGGTGAAATTTTAATGTCATTAATGATGAAATCAGATTTAGAAGTTTGATTAGTTTTATCGAATATTTATATTCATTTCTACGGTATCCGAGGGTATTGAGATGAGAAAACAATAGAATCAATTTCGGTGCAGATCTTATTCTAGTTTATGGACAAATTGTTTTGATGTAGAATAATATATTTATATACAGATTTCTGAGACTTCGGCACTGTTCAGGAAATTACAGACAGAAACTGTGAAATACAGACACTACATCATGTATGGTTCACGGAAAATTTAACTGATGTATTATAATAATACAAATTATTTTTAATTTGTATCAGGTTTCTTCGTCAGTTCTTAACCTCTAAGTACTTAAAATTTAGGGATTATAAATGTATTAATTTTTTGATAAAAATTCAATGACTTTAATAAGATAAATACAAAAAAATATTCGGTGAGAAAAAAATTGTAAATATATTTAATTTAATCCACTCGTAGAGGCGTTGATTTAAAGTAGAACCCCATCGGTTTATAAGTTTTCACTCTTCTTGTTGGATGTGCGTTGGAGGTTGGATTTATGATGTTACTTAGGCTGTGGACCAGCTTTTATAATATATATATATATATATATATATATATATGTTTTGAGTTTGGTGTGAACGCATTCATTGAATTAACAAGAGGAGGGACACTGATCCTTTTTGGCACATGGAGCTCCATGGATGTTTCCATAATCCCATGATTATATACATTATTACATGCTTTTTAAAGTGTTTCCAGTTTCTTTACAGTTGAGCTTCGACTGTGAATGTAAAAGTAGGTTTCTCAAATTAAAATCCAAAATGTTATGTAAAAGACATGATTCTGATTGTACTAAATTATCGTATTCAGAAGCAAACAAACAAAGAATAAATTTGGACAATCTGGTGCCATTGTTGTTTTCATCATTAATGATTTCAAGATCATATTGTGGGATTTTCCGCCATTACTCTGCAACTCCTTTTCTTTTCAGTCCTGTCGACCATGGCAAATCCGTGAAAGAGACTACAGGTGGCATTGCGTTTTTTAGTAGGATCCTTCTTATCCTACGCACCCCTCCATCTCTTATCTTGGACCTATCGCCTTCCCTTTCATCCAACTGTTTTCAGTACTGTGTGAAGCATTGCACCAATTAAACAAACGCAGCTTTCCTTTCTCATGAGCTGTAAGTGTCATTCGTAAAGTGGAAGTTTAATTCTTTAATACTTTTTTGTACCCCCAAAGTTTTTCTTGATGCTGTTGGGTTTGATATGATCATAGTTAGGGTGTTATAATGATTCAAAGATTAGATACCCATTTGCTTTAGTTTGTTTAAAAGGTTTCTCGTTCTCAGATCTGGCTGTCTGTAAAGATGTGTACGTTTTATCACCTTTTTCTTTTTTCATCATAATATCTTCCATCTGTTTGTAATAGTGGTATAGCACAAAGGAAATCAAAACCGCCATAGCTGGAAATGTGGGTTGTTCTTGAAAGGCTGGCAAATGTGTTGGTGATATGATAGAAGACATCAATGTGGTTAAATTTGAATAGAGTGGATGGATGTATGTGAATCAAATCAAGCATTAGAGACCAGAAGACCACCATCATTTCCAGAAAAGAACAATGGAAGGATTCATCAGCCTCTTACTAGGGAAGTCAGTTCTAGGTACAAATCCCCTACACCAAGGCGTTTTCCATCCCCAAACACAACAAGAACAGCTACAACATCAGCACCGGCTCCAAAGAGAGCTGTATCTGCAGGAAGGAGGCCGCCAGCAACACCACCATCGCCTCCAAGCCCCTCCACCCCAATCCATGATACATCTGTGTATACAGAACTGGCCGCCAGAAAGACGAATGGTAGTAAATTGCCAGAGTCCTTGTGGCCTTCAAGAATGCGTAGTCTGAGTGTTGCTTTCCAGTCTAATACATTCTCGATGCCAATTAGTAAGAAAGAGAAACCTCCTCCTCAGGCCCTTTATGATCGCACTTTGAAACCATCCTCAAATGTAGCCCATAAATTGCCTGTAGCATCACCTACCTATAGGAAGGCTACACCAGAGAGAAAGAGGAGTCCTCTTAAAGGAAAAAATGCCGCAGACCAGTCAGAGAATTCTAAACCTTTGGATGGTTTACATGCTAGACTAGTTGATCAGCATCGGTGGCCTAGCAGAATAGGTTCTAATGTTTTAAGTAAAAGCATTGATCTTTCTGATACATCTATCAAAAAATTTATCACTCCAAATCCAGGTTCCCTCAGGAGAATGTCCTTGCCCAATGATACAAATAACCCTTCACAAAAATTAAAAGGTGATGCTGCAAGGCTACTATCACCACTTCCCCATAATCCTCAGAGAATATCCAAGCTTAGTTCATCAGAGAAAAATGGTTTAGTTACTGCTGCACCAAATAATTCATCTGGTTTAGTTTCACGAGGTGTCAGCCCATCTAGAACAAGAGCTTTGATTTCTGCGCCCTCTAGAGGGGTCAGTCCTAATCACATGAGATCATCTAGTCCTTCGAGGCAATTATCCAATTCCAGTACAGTTTCTGTTCTCACATTTATTGCTGACATCAAAAAGGGGAAGAAGGTTGCAAACCGCATAGAAGATGCTCACCATCTACGGCTACTTTATAACAGGCAAGTGCAGTGGCGGTTTGTTAATGCCAGTGCAGAAGCTGCATTGAGTTATCAGCAAGTAACCGCTGAGGTTAGGTTCTTGCATTTGTCACTTTTGTGTCTCTCCTGGTCTTAATTTTCTGCATATAATGCTGTCTTTACCGTATAATTGATTGCATCCTGGAAAGTCTCAGAAACCGAGATTGATATCTTATTTCATCATGCAGAAATCTTTAGTTAATGCCCAGAGAACTATATCAAAACTCCACGATTCAGTAACTGCAAAGAGGATTCACATCTATCAGTTGAAACTGCAACTAAAGCTGTACTTGGCTTTAAACCAACAAGTAATACATTTTGCTATAGCACTTTTGACATTCACTGCTAATGATTTCATCATGATGTAGTTTCAGTTAGGAATCCCTTAGATTATTGAAGGAACTGCATACAGTTTACTGCCAACCATTTCTAGAAATTTGAAGGTCATTAGTCAAGCATACCATTTCATGCTAATTAGATTTCAGGAATAAAAAAAAATATAAGAAAGTCATATGTTCTGCGTGCCACTTTTATGTAATCTTTGACTGATTTTCAGTTTGGTGTCTCTGTCTCAGATCACTTATCTCAATCAATGGTCTTCGATGGAAAGGGAGCACAATTTTGCTTTACATGGTGCTACTGAAGATCTACAAGCAAGCACTCTACGTCTTCCTGTCACTGGATGTGCAACGGTATGTCATTTTTCAGAATTCGTATACTACTTTTTATACAAATAACACCCGTTTTTACAATTCAGGCAAATATTCAAACTGTGAAGTCGGCTGTTTACTCGGCCATCCAAGTAATGCAGACAATGGGATCCTCCATACAATCAACACTATCAAGAGTAAGATTCATGCTATGTGTAGCCAACAAAATTTATCATCCGATCCTGTAAATATTCGTGCAAAAGTCTTGTTTTTACGCCTCTCCAATTGTAAAACTGTCAAAAGACATGACCTATACAAGAATATATGCAGGGCTGATTGTAAATAAGTGCTTCCTGAAATCTCTATTTTTATTACAGTTGGAGGGAACAAATTGGCTGGTCTCTGAACTTGCTACCGTAGCAGCACAAGAAAGAGCTCTTTTTGATGAATTTGAAGCTTTAATGGCTTCTGCGTCTTCTCTACAGGTAATTATAGCATTTAATGCAATAAGCCTTATCTAGAATGAGTGGAAACTTTATCTTTAGACACTTAAAGGCTAAGATGGTGCATTATTGTGTCGAACGTGGTTCCGTGGCTTAGTTGTCCTTAGAATTTTTGGACAACCTAATCTCTTTATGAGCATGATAGTTACATTCTGCTGGTAGCGTTATGGGCGTGAACTCTTCGGTACAATTCCCTTAATTTTGCACTCAGGTGGTCCTTTGCAATCAGCCATATGTCATTAAAATCTATGGCAGGTGCCCTAAAAGATGTCTCTATCTAATTGAGTAGTTGTCTTTCCTTCATTGTTACAATAATTGCTACAAAGGGAATACTAGTCATAAAAAGATTCCTGTTTTTTCAATCTTGTTTTGGTAAAGGGTATTTTAGGTATTTGATTATTAGTCAAAAACTTTTATTAAACTATACCTCAGATCAATGGTACATGTTTTAAGATGATTTTTTCTTTAACCGTGAGTGTCTGAGCCAACTTGCACTTGACTAATCCCATGAGACCCTGAAGATAACAACCAAAAAAAATCCCGAGTGGCCATAAGGAGACTCAAATGGCGACCTATGGAAGAAGAGCCCAAGACCTAATCTTTATTTGTCGGTTGCCATGACATTTTTGTTTCAGTGGGTACATTGTTCAACTGGACAAGGACAACAATCCGATAGGTTGCCAAATCAGGCGTATTGTCCGATCAATAGAAATTAGTTTCCTATCAATGCCACTAGTCCCACAAACATATTGATGAATCAGTAGGCCAACTTGTTATTACTTAACAACCTCCTTAATTGGACCTTCCATAACTAGAAAGGCACTTTTCAATTGTCAAGAACTTGATTATAATCGTAAAGTTATAACTTTCGTTCTTTTCTTTATTCTTTTTTTCCGTTTTCGTTATCTACAGGAAGAGGAATACAGCCTTAGGACACATCTCGTACAGTTGAAACAAGCTTCGCAGAGTGTATGAACGTATCATGATCACATCCGACACTAACTTCACTTCATTTTGTCTCTTAATTAAGCAAAGAAAAATACATCCACGGTGTGTCGATAGTATAGTGTGTGTATAGTTTTCTTTTTCTCTTGTGTGGTTCTTTTCTCCCCTCGCTTTAGGAGGGTCGGGCGTTGAGGTGATAGCGAAAAAATGTAACTAGTTAACGTATACATGGCAATGGCAATGGCAATGGCAATGGCAATGCAGTGGTCTAGCTTTGTTCATTCTACGTGTAACTCTTTGCATCTTTACTTGAAAAGAAAATGCAAATGAAAGAATAAAGATAGAGAAATTAGATTTTAACTTGGTTTTCGTGGATCGCTCCATCTATTGCTTACTGTTGACCGGTCTTGTTTGTTTTTACTTTTTTGCTCACATTTTTCACAAGATGGAGTCTTTATCGAGACAACGGCTCTACCCATTTAGGTAGATGATGTGTCTGTGTACATACTACCTCCAGACCCTATTTCCGAGTATGATATTCTGAGTATGTTTGGTTTTAAGAAAAATTTAAGAGGACAATGAGTTTTGATTATTTTCCAAGATCTTTGGATTGAAGGATTTGCTACTATACAACTTCATCTAAAACAATGAGTGTATATTTGAGTCCTTTTAAGGCCACTGGGGTTTTTCCTAACTGTTCTCCAGGTCTCCTGAGATTACCATAATGCCCTTGGTACAATTATCTATGAGTGTCTACCAGAAGACAAGCGTCTGGAGGGTAAGATGTATGCAGACCTTACATTGTTACCTCTGTTTCAAGAGACAGAGACGGTTTCCAAGAAGAACCGATCTTGCGAAAAAGATTCGAGTAAAATATTATGAAGTGTGCAATATGTATCAACAGAAGTCTTAGTAGAAACTTTCTTTAATCGGACATAACGAACCGAGTACAAGTCATCATTTGAACAAAACTTTTCACTCTGTAATTGTACAAATCTTAAGAATGGAAATGGAGGATGTTGTTTCAGCAGTTGAGTCCACATTGTTTGACGTCGGGTCCTTTGGTTTTCAACACGAAAGGGTCGATTCGGACCCAAAGCAGCGAGAAGATAGAAGCAAGAAGTATAGACCATATGACCACAATAGTTGGTGTCCTGTTCTGCTTTCCCATAAGACCTTTGAGGAATGGATAAAGGTGAACAATCACCCAGAATGCAAAGAAGAGTTTCCCGAACAGCGGGCCCCATGATTGGTAACCGTTGTTTATCGCATCAGAGATCCCGGCCACGACCCCAACCATGTTGATGATTAGGATAGTAGTCGGAGGGATAAGGAGCGTTGTCCATTTGAAGGCGTATAACTCCCCGAAATCCTCGTCATCTGATGCTTTAGATGTGACTGTGAAGTTGGTGTCTATTCCTGCCAAAATCTTTAGGAGACCTTGTACAACAGCAAACAGATGAGCGGATACGCCACCGATGACCCAAAATTGCTCGTTTCTCCACCATTCCTCGATGCTGACTCCACTCCATCGCAGCTCGAGAATTCCCGTTGTGAAAATCGAGAGAAAAAGAGCGATAAAGAAGAGACTTGCCAACGTGCTTATCTGTATCAAAGTTGCATGAAAAGTTATCAGATCTACAGAGATTGAATGCTGATTGTAGCATCACAACAATAAAGTCAGCTTTATATTACAGTCAAATATGTCTAAATCTACTGATAGATAGTTTTATAGGACTTGAGTTAGAGGACTAAATTATTATATATCCAATGTAAAAAACTTTTTAGGACGCCATAAACGTAACACCTCACATACGATGTACAGTTATTTAGTCCTATAAACTTAAGGATTTGACGTCCTATAAAGCCGATTTTGTTGTATTGAGGGGGAGAAAGAGAGGTTATATTTGTACCTCTGGCATAATAAACTTCCCAGTGAGCAAGCAAATGGCAGGGAGGGTACAGTAAGCAAGAAGTGGGATAGAAGTGAATGGATAGACTGTTGTGTTCACATAAGCGAACCTCTCGAGCCACTTAAGATTACCTCCCTTGTAACCATACCAAACCGGGCTGTGTCGGCTGAAAAAGATCTCGACTGAACCAAGAGCCCACCGCAAAACTTGGTTAAGACGGTCTGATAGATTGATGGGAGCTGATCCTTTGAATGCAGGCCTCTTTGGCATACAATATATAGACCTCCAACCACGGCAATGCATCTTGAAACCCGTTAGAATATCCTCTGTGATCGACCCGTAAATCCATCCCAACTGCAGGTAAACAAACAATATGGCCATGAAATTGCTTCATTACGAAAAGTTATGCAGTTTTTGTGACATTTGCAGTTCATTTACCTCCAAACCCCATTCTGTTTTGTCTTCATACCCACAACTGATCACATGAATGGCTTCTTTCAGGAGTGATGCTGGGCTTGAGGATGGCGGAACTCCGCCATCAACCATCAAAGTCGAAGTGACAAAGATGGCTGATTGTCCAAACTTCTTTTCGAAGTTCATTTGAGACTTGAGAAGTTCTTTATCATCTTCATATCCTGATTAGTAGAAACACACACACACATGTATATATAAGTTTTAAACTAATGATGGGATTGGCTACGAGTTGAAGGGTAATTAAGAATGTCGATCGAGAACCTTGGATGTTTTCTAAATCTCCACCCGAAGCATTCTTTTCGAACTTCTGAATCTTCTTGCGACGGCCGAAACACGGGCAGCAGTCACAGCTTACCATTTTTGGTCTCTTGGGACCCTTTGGTGGATCATAGCCATATAATGCCTGTCTTCTGAAAACACATCCTGTTCCGACATATACTGGGCCTTGAATTCCATCTAGACCTTTCATGTTAATCTGCCAAAGATGAACAGTTTTGATAAAGAAAAGATCTTGTTTTACAAGTTATTTCTGGAGTATAAATTTTCATATGTTTGCAGGGCTTACATCGAAGAAAACGGTGTTCCTGTTGGCATATCGATCATGTCTATCTATGCCATCGAATCTTTGGGGGAATTGAACATAGCAGACCTTTCGTCCGATTTGTGGATCCATCAAGAAACACATTGCCTCTCTTGCAGCCTTGCTGTTGTTTAGGTAATGATCACAATCCAAGTTCAGCATGAATGGAGCATTTGTTAGAACCCCCGAGACTCGGACCTGTAAATCCGAAATGCATCCATGAAAAGATCACAAACCCATTACTAATTATGATATTTTCTTTGATTAAGAACAATAAAAATGCGATCTTTATGATCTTTACCAATGCATTCATGGCACCAGCTTTCTTGTGATGTTGAAAACCAGGCCTTTTCTCACGGGAAACATAGACAAGCCGAGGAAGCTCGTTTCCTTCAACATCGGTTCCGCCACTTTGACCAAGAAAGACTTGAATCATTCCAGGGTGATCTTTGGTGTTATTCCCTGGCCATGGTGTCCCATCTTGCATAATCCAGCCTTCTGCAGGTGCTTTCAGAGCTTTCGCTACAAGTGCATTGATTCGAACCTTGAATTCTTCGTATTCTCTCTGCAACTCATGAAAAATTAAGTTTAGAAATGGAAACAAGTAGGATTTGCTGGTTGTGGTTTAAAACATCATGGTTCGACCTTCATAGCTCGGCGTTCCTTGACAAATGTGGGCTGAACTTTATCTTTGAGGTAGTCGATTTTGTCAGAGAAGTACATCTCCGGTGCTCGTGGCTCTATGGTGAATTTCTTGCAAAACGGAACCCATTTTCGTGAGAATTCTGCAGTTTCTGATAGTGATTCGAAGGTAAGCATCGAAGCTCCATCATCAGATATGTAACACGATATTTTATCAACAGGATAGTCCATGGCTAGGATAGATAGGACTGTGTTAGCTGTAACAAGAGGAGGTTCCTTCAGTGGATCCACTGTACTCACAAATATATCCACTGGGCACAGCATATTCGGTTCACCTTCCCTTTCGTACCTGCATCGCAAGATCAATGAGCTCCGGTTTCTATGAATTTCTTCTAAATTTTGAACAAAAATCAATTATGATCATGATTTGGCTAGGTACCTGAGAGAAAGGCGATCAAGATAAGTCTCGCGATCAATTGGGAACCATTTGGGAAACTGATCAAGGATCCATGAGAAAGCAAACCAGATTTCACAGATAACAGATGTCAACCATAACCCGAATGCATCATGGACAGGGTTCAAGAGTCGATAGCGAAGAAAGATGGCCAAGATGAAAAGCCGAGCCACAATCACCATCCGGTAAGGATTGATCTTGCTAGATGCAATTGGTACTTTTCTTGAAAGTGGCTGTCTTGCTTCATCTAACCTGCATCATTAATAACAAAAAGGATGGATTTTTATGAGTTGAATTCATTAAAATTGGTCCAAAACTAGATTAAGATATTCCAGTCAAGCCATACATGGCCATATCAGGATCAGCTGAATCATCAATGTGATCAGTCCCAAGATTTCCTTGCTGCATTTTCCAGTCATCCATTCTTTCTTTCCATCCTCCATCTTTCTTTTCATCCCATCTTCCACTTCCTGTAATTAAAAAGAGTCATCTAAAATCATTAAGTTCATAGAGATATATGGAGATCAAGAGATTATGATTAATGTCATAAATTAATATACCAAACTCAGGTGCTGTATAAGGATGCACACGTTTATGAAGTGAAGATAACATCTGGTCTCCATGAGGTTGGCTTGATATCGGAAACTCACCGCTCACCTGCCATCCATGCATTCGGTGATTCAAGTTTAACTATCATTGATGTTGTTAATCGTAAAAGAAGATAGAGATTAATGATAATTACTGGTCGAGATCGGCCAGAAATGACAGGTGGGTATTGGGCATTGTTGTCATGATCATCTTGATCAGCAGGTCCTCGGCCATAGCTCATCTTCCCATGAAGCATTGCTTCTGCAATATTCTTGTTCTTGTTTTGTTCATCATCATCTATCTTGAACTCATGCTCGATGTCATCCACATCTTCTTCATCGTCATCTCCCTCAACCCTTGGACTGCCTGTTTTCATTAAGTATATATATTCATGTTTATATATACATATATATATATATATATATATATATATGGTTAATTCCTTAAAAAGATACAGTTTTAAGAAATATATAGTTACCTCTGAGACGCTTGTATCTGGTTTTGCATTGCGGGCAGTTCTGACTACCTTCTCTTCTCTCGTACTCGTAGCATGGGCGGCAGACAGGAAAGCCGCATTCGTTGCATGCCACGAATAAATCTCCATCGACTGTGAGACCGATCTCATCGCCACATATTTCACAAACTTGACCATTCAAATCTTTCAAGGGCTTTGGCTGCACATACATGATCCAATATATATAATATGTACATTAAAAGCGAGCTTAATTGCAGGAATAAAAGGAACACTTCGTGTGCTGTTTGTACTTAACACACACACACACACACACTTGCATGATGATTAATGAATTCAGACAAGTCTGTAAGCACAAAATAAGTATTCATGCTTGTTGTTATACCTCTTCGTGACCATGGATGACGACGAGCTCATTGCGATTGTGAGAACCAGCGACAAGGCCGGCGCTGGCTTGCATGGTGGTCGGAGAAGAGAAGTGCAAGGCGGCTGAAGGTGGTGGTGGTAGGAAAGTGAAGGGGGGTTGGGTGTGTTTTTAATGAGGGTTGGGGTTGGGGTTGTAGTTGTAGTCTTGTTTTCAGATTCAACGTGTCACTCACATGACATATGCACCTAATATTATAGAGCCAACCAGGAGGTGAGATGATATGTTGTTGTTTGTTGGTTGCAGGGTCTCCATTGCCTTTAAGCTAAGTTTCCATCTCATATATGTTACTTTTTCTTCAACCACCTTCTTATTCATTCTTTTCATTTATTATACATATACATACATACACATACATACATGCATACATACATACACATACATATACATATATGTATGTATGTATGTATGTATGTATTTTTACGTCTTATTTGGATGGTAAAATGTATGAAACTGTTTTCAAAATTTCATATTTTCTTTTATCGCAAAAAGTATGTTTAGAAGTCAAATAAGTTGCTCTCACAAATCTATGGTTGGAAATCATCAATCAATCTACCTTTCGATTGAGAAAACGATGACATGACGTAATTAAAATGTGTTTTTAAGGTGTTGTATCGAAAAGAAGATTTAACATACAAGAGGTCTGAGCTCATGATGGGTATTTTCTATCTATCATTTATGTTTTTTTTGATATATTTTGTATCTAATAAGATAAAATTAGAAATGAAATATGTATTCTTGTATATTTATAAGAAATCTAATATCTAATGATGTCTGGTTGGTTTGAGTTTGGGTTCCAAATGTCAAAAGTGTCTGGAGATCTCAAGTTCAAATTTAGGCTACCCGCAAAATATGTGGTCGTCTTGTCTTGTGATCAGTCGGCTCGCATAATGAGTTAGATATCCAAGTTAATAAAAAAAACTAGATTACGTTAAAAAAAAAATGGGCCAAAATGTTATTTTGGAATTTCCGGTGCTAATAGAGTCTCACAAAGTTGTAAGGGCCATTTTGTTAATTTTCAAAAAGTTGAAATTTACTAAAAATAGTTGCAAAAATAAAAACTTTAGAACTTCAGGGGAACAAATTGAAATTTCTTAAAACTCCGTTTCCAAACATTTGCCAAAACAAGTCCCTGTTCTTTACAATTTTACCACTTCACACCTTAATTTTTTTACTATTCTTGTAACACTTTCAACTCAAATAAACACATTGTTGTCATGTGATCGAGAGACCCCATAAGTTTGCATGGGCTAAGCCACTTCTCATATCAAAGCCTTAGGAGCCGTTTACCAAACTATTCATAAGTGCTTATTGATAAAATTCAACATTATCATTTATCAGGTAAGATTTTAGTTTACAAAAACAGTATCGTATGCAGCCATTTACCTGGTAAGCACTAAACATAATAAAAGTTGTCATTCTTATTTACCGGATAAGACTTTTGGTCCTTGTCTCACTCTTACCGAGTAAGATTTTTGATTAATATCATATTCATTCGTTAAGATAATGTGACTTGTTAAACACTTACCCGAGTAAGATGTTTATATTCATTTTTCTTTTTTTGTATAAACACATTCTGACATGTTGTCAATGTGATTATATCATACGTTTCTTATAATTTATTTTTTATCCTTTTTATTTTAAGTGTCAAATGATCTTATAATAGATCATTTACGAACAATTTCATAAACAAAGTGAATCACACCATATTATATATGATTATAAACATGCGAATTATAAAAACAATACTTTGTTAACCTAACCAAAAAAATATAATGAAATTTCAATGACTAATAATACATGGTTTTCGTATATACAAACGATACAAAATCGAGGATTGAGAAATTAGATAAATACAAATAACAAATGAATGACACCATTAAATTGTTTTTTTCTTTTTCCATGTTTTAAAATATTATTTAGGAGGTGTTTGGGATTGCTTAAAATTCTTTATCAACTTATTATAAGTTCGAATGGTTTAATTTTTTCAAAAACTCCTTATTACCAGTTTGACACGGGTATAAATTATTTATCCAAACGCTCAAAAGTGTTCGTTACTGGTGTCACATCAGAATAAGTCAATAAAGTGTTTTTATTATTTGATGAGATAGGAGATAATAAATTCAGCAACAACTTTGATTTAAAGGGTAAGGTTGAGAAAATGATGAAAAGAAAAGAAAAGAAAAGAAAAGAGTGCATCCTAAGTTTAGGATCAATTACGGAATTTTTAAATAATATAAAATAAAATCGAAACCAAAGCCAAGGTGAAAGGTGAAGGTGATGTGTATGCAGTCACCAACTGGTAGGTATTGCTTCATAACCAAGAACTTTGCCACCGTCTTTCTCCATAGTTTGGTGCCAATCACTTCTCTCCCCCACCCCTCAAATAACCCTCACTTTGTTTCGCTTCAATCTTCATATATATATATATATATATATATATATATATATATATATAGAGAGAGAGAGAGAGAGAGAGAGAGAGAGAGAAAAGAGTTAAATTGCAAATCGATTTTCGGCTGTGAACCCGGGGATAAAGGAGAACGTGATACGTGTCCCCAACGTCCACATTCGGTATGAATGACGAAGGTGAAGTTCATGAACTATTGATGATGAATGATACAACATTCTATATGAATAATACAATATTCATGATAAATAATACACGATCATGATTCCTGTTAAATTGATTCATATATATAATGCAAGATATATTTGAGACTAGAAACACGGAGATCCACAAGACCTAGACCTTCCAAATCAATTTTTAGTGAGCAGAAAAAAAAACCCTTGCTTTTTTAGGCCCATGCCGGGTTTGAGGTTGGAAAAAAGGCCTAATCGGGCTTTTCCAGGCTGAGATTTGCCTGCCCAAAAAAGTTCGGCCTGATCGGGCTTTGAGGCTTGGCCTAGCGTAGGTTTCAGGCTCCCTAGCCCCGGGCTTTTCGTGTCAAGCTTCGGACTTGAGCTTTTTTGTTCATCATAAAATAACACATATCAAGGCAATCTCATACTGATATTCAAGTAAAACAAATATGGCAGTAAATAAAAACTCTAGTCAGAAAAGGAAATGCAGATTTAGCCCTGCAAAACATAACCCACACCAACCACATCCAAATTCAACCCTCCAGCACCAAAGACTAGAGCAAAAAAAATGGTATATGCCACCCTCTAGAGAGCCCCTACGGCCCTACCACATTAGTCCCATGGTAATCATGAGGGAGGTAAATCATTGCGAGTCATTGGTAGGTTGTAGTGCGCAGGTTTGAATCTGGGACCTCCTTTCCCGATGCCTACCTTACTACCGCTTAAGAAACACATGGGGACACAAAGGCCTCAGAGAATTAACAACTTGTATTGAACCAGTAAGCAAATATTCAAAACTAGACATGGTCTACCAAAGGGTCTTTGGCTCATCGGTATCTAGATTACCGGTAAAATCCCAACCTCCCTCCCTGGAGGTCAAAGGTTTTTACTTCAATAAAGATGGGTAGTGCATGTGAGTACGAGTATTTGCCGTATCATCTATACTTCAAAAAAAAAAACTAGACATGGTCTCAAAGTCTAGAGTAAATTACATTTTTGGTCCCTGTGGTTTCTCAAAAGTAACACTTTTTGCCCCTGCAGTTTCGAAATTACACTTTCGCCATTGTGGTATGCAAAAACGACCGGATTTGGTTCCTCCCTCTAACGGACAGTAACACTTGACCGTTAACTGAAGGGGATTTTAGTCTTTGGATTTTTGTCTCATTTTATATTAAAAGCCAAAAAAAATCGGGGAGGGGACTGATTTAATTAATTAATTTTTTTAAGTAAAATGTCAGAAGGATGTAAAAAGATTAAAATACCCCTGATTTAAAGGATTATTTTAACGTTCCTTAGAGGGAGGGACCAAATCCGGTCGTTTTTGCATACCACAATGGTGAAACGGTAATTTTGAAACTTCAGGGACGAAAAGTGTTACTTTCGAGAAACCACAGGGACCAAAAATGTAATTTACTCCAAAGTCTATAACACAGGAGGCAATGGGACAAATATGCAGCAGGAACACATTTCCCATATCCACCCCACCCTGACTACCTAACTCCATTTTGACTTGATGATTTTTAACACACATCATGGAGAGCATACAGGATTTTAACTATAAATATGTACCTTTTGTAATATGTATTAAATAGCAAAATCTAAGGAGAAAAACATCATTATTCATTAAGGAGTAAAAATTTATAGTTGATACGATCCCTTTTTTACGTCCCCATGCCCTCTGTGTGGTGACATGGGGGCGAAAAAAAAGAAAGAGAGGGATGGGGTTTCTCTCGCTTTTGGCATAGTGGGCCCCCAGTGCGGGGATCGCACGACGGGCGAGAGGCATTTTTGTGAAATGATGCACACATGAGACAGATGTGGTGGTTTTAACATACATCCCACATCCGAACCAGATTCATAAATTCACCCCATATCTACTTGGGTCCGACGAATTTTGTGACACTCTAAATCCATCCCAAGTGAAGCAGGATGAAGCATGATCCTTCTGAAATCAACACTTAGTGTATAATGTAAAAGCAAGATCATAACTTCACGAGTAAATGGAACATGGATACCCGTACTTAAATCTTTGACCCCAATACCACAAACCTCCACAATTATCGCCTTACGATGTCACAAGAACTTGATATAAACCCTATGTAACACTACAGGCACCACATAACTCAACACAGAGATGTAAACAGTTGCAAACTAATATGGCAGTTCAATATAAGCATGTATATAGTTACATGCTAGTATGGCTAAGGAATTAGCTAAAAATGCAATAAATATGAGGGTTTCTACTATTGGTATGACGACTGAACTATACAAGATTGCAAAATACCTGTTAATTTATGAACAAATCAAAGATTTGCAGCTTGTTGCCGTGCCTTTGAAACAAATCACCGAATTATGAAGTTTTGTTTATACGCTAGCTGACAATTCTGTCCCAGTTGACTTTCCTTTTTTCTTTGGTGGTTCTTTTTGTACAACCACCTTGTTTGGAATCAATACCATGAACATGTTCCTGTCTTTGAAATTTTTGCTTTCCTCGATGCCTAGCTGCAAGATCATTTAGGCAAAAACGTTTGATACTTTCTTCCCTAAAGAGGAAAAAACGTTTAGCTGAGTTCGAATGTCTCCTCTTCTAATCAAATAAAGCACATAGGGTACCTCCCCAATGTCATCACGAAAACGGTGCAGAAGCTCAACAGCATTATTTCTGAACTCGTTTTCACGACCCTTTAAGTTCACTATAACCTTAACCTGAGAGAATTTCGTGAAAAAGCAAGGAAAACAGGAGTGATTTAGAAAACTTGTTTTGGCAGTTCACTACAAAACTGTGAAAGAAAATCTGAAGAAACCTTGTCACCATCTTTAAGAAACTTCTGAGCAGCCCTCAACCGCACAGAATAATCGTGCACATCAATGTTGTATCTGCCAGCAACAGTGATTTAGTAGCACATAATGTACACTTAACAAGGACCAATTCTGTGAATATTTTTGAAAGTGACAACATACCGAACCACCATCCACCTCCCTCTCACTATGGTAACGACTATTGTAGTCGATATAATAGAGAAGCAGCCCCATGTTACCCTTCACCCATTTTTTAAATTACTTTTATATATTTCTGGAAAATATAAGTAATTAAACAGAAAACAGCTAAAGCTTTTCTTTGCTCTACCTTTTTTTTCTTGGGAGGGGAGGGGGGGGGGGGAATGAATACTTTTAACACATTATATAAGCTGACAAAGTACTTTTAGCTTTCTTAGTGTCATGGATTCAGATATCAACTGTTCGGTTCATCACTTTGTTTTACCAGTAGGCCATGATCAATCCACAACAGTAGAATTAAATTATCTTTGGTGTCAGGCATGATCCCTTATCAGCAGCAAAATGGTGAAATTATAAAGTGTTATTCATTTTGGCTATTTTACAAATGCACGATCCATTTGTATGGTGTGAGGAGAAAAAAATGTGATTGCAGGATCTGTGGTGCAAGGAGAAATGAAAATGGGATCCACAAAATGGAGAAGCAAAATGACATAAACAAATAGAACCTAAGCTTTTAACCCAAACCATACACATGACATTTACCGTACAACCTACAAGGGCAGCAACCACTTTGCAAAGTAGCAACTTTAGCCATGCAATTAAGAAAAAATGCATAGCAACACCAAAGAGAAAAAAAGCACATGACTATAAAAAAGGTATGCAATGATGCAAAACAAAATGTTCCTACCCCATTTTGAGCTCCTTCTGATCCATGCGACTTGCTAGCATTAAAGAACATACTTCAGTCAGCAGGTTTTCTTAAAACTGAAAGCTATGCATGAATTAGAATAAAAGTTAAATAAAGAAACAACTTTGAAGAGCTGCACACAAGACAGAAGAGGCATTCACCGGCATTTTTCTTCTGCTGCTCTCTTTTCTTCTTTTGTTGCTCATATTTATATTTGCTGTGAAAAATGCGTAATCAAGACACACTGTTGAAAGTTGAAAAAACAAATAGCTATATAGCATGCTGCATAGAGGCATAATTTTAGGCCTAAACTAGTTAGTAGGGGACAGTTTTGGTACGCAAACATGACAGGACAGGACATGACTGGACGGGACGGTAAGGGACGGGATGGTAAGGGACAGGACGGAATTGGACAAGTGTATGTTTACTGTTTGGTACAACTAGGACAGGACAGAACTAGACAAGTTGCCCCGAAAAGTTATTTGATGATTTTATATATCATATAATTGTTATTAATTAACACAAATAAAGTAAATAATTTAATTTATAAACATTTTTACACAATTTTCATATACACATATAATTGTACCAAATTTGAATGAAAATAGTAGATAGTGGTAGTGGTAGCCGATGGTGGTGGCTGACAGTGTAGTGGTAGCTGCTGGTGGTGGTGGTGGTGGGCAGTGGTAGCCAACGGTGGTGGTTATGGTGGAGGCGAGGTGGCCCATGGTAGTAATGGTGGTGGTCGGTGGCCAACGGTGGTTGTGGAGGTGGTGGAGGAGGTTGTTGTAGTAGAGGAGGTGGAGGTGGCCAATGGTGGTGGTGGTGGTGGTGGCGGTGGCAATGGACGGTGGTGCTTGGTGGGAGACGGTGGTTGTGGAGGTGGTGATGGACAGTGGTGGTCGATGGTCGACGGTGGTTGTGACGGTTGTGAAGGAGGTGGTTGTAGTGAAGGAAGAGGTGGAGATGGCCGACGGTGACTACCTGTGGTGGCGGCGGCCACGACTAGCGGTGGTGACCACTAAAACAAATAGCATATTAAGGTTATATATCAAACGAGGATTAATTACTAAAATTTTAGTTTCTATCTCATTCTTGTCTCACCTTGTTCCACCTAACTTGGGGGAACAAGAAAAATCCTTTTTAGTCCCACGTTGTCCCAGTTCTTGTCCATGTCCCATGTCGCACCAAACGTGGGACAGTGAGTTCTTGTCTTATCCCATGTCATGCCAAACATGGAACAGTGAGTTTTGTCCTCCTGTCTCATGTACCAAACACAGCCCAAGAGATCAATTTTTATCAGGATTATAAATGCAAGAGAGATGTGATTTACTTGTAATCCATCAACTTGACAACAGGTGGGTCTGCATCGGGTGACAATATAACCTACAAAAAATGTACTTTGGAAATCAGTATGCTATCCAGTAAGTGCTCCTGCTTTGTTGAAGGTACATCTGGTGTGTGTACCCCTGGGACCAAAAAGAGGAAAAATTGGGATTGCATTTCTTCAAGTGTCTTACTGTAGAAAATTAGTTAAGATTTATGGACCAATATAATGTAGACAGTTTCATTCTCTCGCTCTCTCTCTCTCTCTTCTATGACTCTATGAGGATCTTAAGTATAAGGGATGCTTGGTTCAGGGCTTGGAAACTTAGGGGCCGTTTACTAAACACTTACTTTGTAAGTGCTTACCGGATAAATTTCCTCATCGGATGAATATGAGAAAGGCCAAGAATCTTACCGGGTAAGAGTGATGAGAATGATGGAGAGTCTTATCCGGCAAGTGAGGATGACGACTCTTACCCAGTAAATTGTTGCATTCGATATGTTTTGATGTAAAATCTTACGCACCAAAATAAATCATAGTGTTTGACTCCTATTAGTAAGCGCTTGTTACTGGGTAAGCAATTGGGTAAACGGCCCCTAAGATACAAGAGGAGTATCTATTTTTTCTCTGGTGCTCATATGCTAAGCAGCACTTTGGGACAATCAACCATGATCGCTTTCACTACTCTGAATTTAGATGATGCCTGATCATTTCTGATGGTACATTATCTTTGCTTTGTTTCCATATTAACCACAATTTAACTTCATTATTCTTCATAATAGAACCATACTTTTTCCTAAGTGATTTTATATTTGCTCTATAGTGACCTTTCAATAACCTTTAAGCATTGTGCTTTTATTTAAATGCAAAATATTTGTAAAACAGAAAAATAAAAGTTATGCACAGCATGAAGATGAAGCAGTTAAAAGTGTCCAATTACATGGGAGTAGAACCGGAGATTAGTTCAAAAAGATTAACAATGAAAATGAAATGCTAATGTAATCTAATTGTAAGAAAAATATGCATACAAGGTCAAGTTCAGCATCTTCAGCCATCTGAATAGCAGCACTTTTAGATACTATACCAACCTAGGAAAACAAGTAGATCAGTCTGTTGACAGTCTCATAGAACTTAATAAGAAAGACACATGTGACAACAAAATGTTTGAAGAACACTCACCATATTTTGCTGATCATCTATAAACCTCACAGTATTTGACCTATTTTCATTCAGGAAAAAAGATAACACTTCATACCGATGCAAATAGAGTGAAAAATAAGATCTACTTTAGACACTACGTGGAATTGATGTAAGCCTGCTTACAAGCAAATGGGTGTTACAGACAGAAATACCAAACTTGATGCTTATGCTTTTACAAACAACTTAAAAAGCATATCTGAGTAAGAAAGCAGCTTACATGTCTTCGGCCTATTTCAATAGTCTGGAAGGTAGTGTAACTCTATAGGTTCATACAAACCAAGGTTTAAGATCTGACGGGATATGGGTTTGTATCAAGCGAACCCTCCTGAAATCTTTCTAGTATTACTCAGTCATTGTGACAATTATTTTCAAGGCACCCATACCACAATCTATGAATAGAAAGAAACGGAGAACAAACCGGATGTTTTCACCACTTTATCATATATAATTCCTCTCTCTAAATTGATTAACCTCACTCTTATAGGGTCTTTACAAGTTCTCGCCACGGAGGCAGGTCCAAGGGGCAACACCCTCGAGTACTTGTTTCGTGCAGGTTGTTCGAGTTGGCGACTGGAGCACGATAAAGGGAACTAAATCAGAAGCTATCATTTAGTTCAAATACTAATTCAAGTATATGAAACATAATGTCCCAAACATATAACATTAGCAATGGACAATAAATACACAAAGTGGTCCTCTTCATGGAAAATAACTCTTGGGCATTTGAGAAACATCCAACTGCTTTTGAGTTCGTTGATTTTGAATGACACCATTTAGCTTCCACTCTTTGTGACCATAGCTAGATATATGTTCTACTTTTTCAAGTCGAATTACAAAATCATTAACCTTAAAAAAGAAAATTGTGTTCAGAATTTCAGATCTACCAACGAGGCCTCGCACTTTTAGCCAGACCCCTCTGCTCATGCTTTTCCTTGTTAACTTTTAAAATAATAAAGCTACTAACTAGTAGTACTTTCTACATTCATGGTGGCTATAGTCTTAACCTTTACTCCCTCTCAGCGGGGCTAGGATACAGTTTTGTGTTTTAGCACATAATAATTTCTCAACGATCTTTATTGTCAAATTTACAATCTTTCTACTTAGAAAATCCTGGGATCACCATTATTGTCGAATTTACAAGCTTTCTGCTTAGAAAAATCCCATCGAAATTTTTTCCAATCTACAGTAAACTGTTCAGTGATCATACAAATAGAATAATGTATTAGGTTAAGCTTGCACATAAGAAGCTCTATCATATTTGCATTTGGAAAACATCTAGTTTCACGTCAAAATCGGAGGGAAAATCCGATCATATCAACTAGGATTTCGCAAATTAGTTTCTAGATGTTTTAAACATCTATAAAATTCTGATCAGTACTACACATTTATTTTCACATAAAAGCGTAACAGTACCTAATAGTGGAGATATCGAGTGCCGGATCGTCGTCAAAACTAGCCTGCTGAGACCGTCTGGAGTCTTCCTGACGTGAACTACCTCCTCCTCCTCCATAACGGCAGGTGATCCGGCTGCCGCAGGTGACATATAAATTAGGGAATTGCAGACGGAGACTAGAGGATTTTGACTGCAGAGAACTGACAGAGGTTGGATGTTTAAAAGGTGGGATGATAGAGCTGGTAGTGACCCTAGCCATTAGATTTCTGCAACACATAGGCAGTGGCATGAGAAGGAGGAAGGGAAGATGGTGGTGGACGTCCTGGCGGTGGTCCCGGTGGTGGTGCAGACCTTATCCATTTCTCTTTGTCTGTGAGCTTCACAACGAAGCTACAATAATTACAGAAATCAGCCATAGGAATTCAATAATTGCAATTAGGGGGGTTTGGAATATCGTATAAAAACAATTTATTAATTTATTACGGTATGTTATCGGTAATAAACACTTTTAAATGTTTGGATAAATAATTTATACCAGTAACAAACCCGTAATAAGGAATTTTTTTGACTTATAATAAGTTGATAAATGTTTTTATTATTAAAATATAACTTGTTTCAAATAAACAATCTCAACCATCCATCTAAGGGAAATGGACCGAAATGACTGTTTCTCTCGCATCAATTGCTCTTCTAATTTAACTCTCCTGAATTTACTTAAATATCCCTACCCTTGTAAATTACAAAGATGTTATTTGGGAAGATAGTAGCATTTGAGTAAAACAGATAAATAAATTGTTAGAACACCAATTATAATGAAAGAAATAGTTATTACGGTTAATTTTTTCTTCATTAAACTTAAAAGCATCTTCAAAACATCCTCTAAGACCTTCGAATAAGATAGGATTTTGGAGATTTCTTGTAGGTGAGAATACAAAATTTGCACTTTAATTCATTAAGAGTATCTCTAACAGATCCTCTAAAATATAAAAAATAAGGGGGGGTGTGGTTTGCATAATGGAATTTGATAAATAAGAATTCATCAAAAGAATTTGATTTTGACCGAGTTGAAATGGAATTTGACCATGCGTTCGGTTGGTAAGGATTAGAATCTTTATCTTTGTTTGGGGAGGGTGGAAGCTAGGGTTGGAAACGGGGCGGGTTCAGGGGGAACGAATCCTTAACATGTTTGGGGACCCCGTTGGGTACCCTTTTACTAAAAAGTAATAAAATAATGTATTTTGAAATTAAAATGGTGACATGGGGTAGGGAGGGTTGGGTGGGTGACTAGGACGGGCCCGCTGATCCCCTCACATGAGTGAGTGGTGGTGGGGTGGTTGGTG